GAGGACACCCCCCTGGGGGGGCCCCCTGTGTTTAGAGTCAGTGTGGAGGAGGTATTGCTGCCAGCCATGGGTCCAGAGGGCTGAGGACACCCCCCTGGGGGGGGCACCCTGTGTTTAGAGTCAGTGTGGAGGAGGTATTGCTGCCAGCCATGGGTCCAGAGGGCTGAGGACACCCCCATGGGGGGCCCCCTGTGTTTAGAGTCAGTGTGGAGGAGGTATTGCTGCCAGCCATGGGTCCAGAGGGCTGAGGACACCCCCCTGGGGGGGGCCCCTGTGTTTAGAGTCAGTGTGGAGGAGGTATTGCTGCCAGCCATGGGTCCAGAGGGCTGAGGACACCCCCCTGGGGGCGCCCTGTGTTTAGAGTCAGTTGTGGAGGAGGTATTGCTGCCAGCCATGGGTCCAGAGGGCTGAGGACACCCCCCTGGGGGGGCCCCCTGTGTTTAGAGTCAGTGTGGAGGAGGTATTGCTGCCAGCCATGGGTCCAGAGGGCTGAGGACACCCCCCTGGGGGGGCGCCCTGTGTTTAGAGTCAGTGTGGAGGAGGTATTGCTGCCAGCCATGGGTCCAGAGGGCTGGGGACACCCCCCTGGGGGGCGCCCTGTGTTTAGAGTCAGTGTGGAGGAGGTATTGCTGCCAGCCATGGGTCCAGAGGGCTGAGGACACCCCCCTGGGGGCGCCCTGTGTTTAGAGTCAGTGTGGAGGAGGTATTGCTGCCAGCCATGGGTCCAGAGGGCTGAGGACACCCCCCTGGGGGGCGCCCTGTGTTTAGAGTCAGTGTGGAGGAGGTATTGCTGCCAGCCATGGGTCCAGAGGGCTGAGGACACCCCCCTGGGGGGCCCCCTGTGTTTAGAGTCAGTGTGGAGGAGGTATTGCTGCCAGCCATGGGTCCAGAGGCTGAGGACACCCCCCTGGGGGGCGCCCCTGTGTTTAGAGTCAGTGTGGAGGAGGTATTGCTGCCAGCCATGGGTCCAGAGGGCTGAGGACACCCCCCTGGGGGCCCCCTGTGTTTAGAGTCAGTGTGGAGGAGGTATTGCTGCCAGCCATGGGTCCAGAGGGCTGAGGACACCCCCCTGGGGGGCCCCCTGTGTTTAGAGTCAGTGTGGAGGAGGTATTGCTGCCAGCCATGGGTCCAGAGGGCTGAGGACACCCCCCTGGGGGCGCCCCTGGTGTTTAGAGTCAGTGTGGAGGAGGTATTGCTGCCAGCCATGGGTCCAGAGGGCTGAGGACACCCCCCTGGGGGCCCCCTGTGTTTAGAGTCAGTGTGGAGGAGGTATTGCTGCCAGCCATGGGTCCAGAGGGCTGAGGACACCCCCCTGGGGGGCGCCCTGTGTTTAGAGTCAGTGTGGAGGAGGTATTGCTGCCAGCCATGGGTCCAGAGGGCTGAGGACACCCCCCTGGGGGCGCCCTGTGTTTAGAGTCAGTGTGGAGGAGGTATTGCTGCCAGCCATGGGTCCAGAGGGCTGAGGACACCCCCCTGGGGGCCCCCTGTGTTTAGAGTCAGTGTGGAGGAGGTATTGCTGCCAGCCATGGGTCCAGAGGGCTGAGGACACCCCCCTGGGGGGGCCCCCTGTGTTTAGAGTCAGTGTGGAGAGGTATTACCTGCCAATCCTCAGCCCGTTGTTCTCCAGATGTTGCTGCTTCCTTCAACATAAACAAGTACATTCTTCCCAAAAATACTTGATTTGGCAAAACAATAATATTCTTCAAATTAAACAAAGATGATATTGTTGTACATTTACACATTTAAGTCATTTAGCAGACGCTCTTATCCAGAGCGACTTACAGTTAGTGAGTGCATACATTATTTTATTTTTTCATACTGGCCCCCCCGTGGGAATCGAACCCACAACCCTGGCATTGCAAATGCCATGCTACATCCCTGCCGGTCATTCCCTCCCCTACCCTGGACGACGCTGGGCCAATTGTGCGCCAGAGAAACACATTTTCTGAGCTCAAAAACATTTAGAAATAGTTATATTACATTTTGTATGGGCTTTTATTCATTAAGTTAATTTGTTTGTTAGTCTAATGGATATATTATATTTAGTGTGTAAAGAAACATATGGCTCACATGAGCCATTAACTGTGTTGGCAGTTAACATTAGTAGTGAACTCAACGGTCTCAAATGACACATCAACATGACAAATGATCAATTCACATGACATCACCCAAAACAAACAAGATCCACGACTTTCTCATCATGACAAGCTATTACAAGGACCAAGGGATTCCCACAGAGTGAGATAATAATATTGTATCTCTATGGGGACTCCCCGGCCCGGTGTCCACATGCAATCTTATCTCCTGCTGCATATCTGCCAGCTCTAAACACAGCCCTCTCATATCCCCACCAGGTCCAGACCTGGGTTCAAATACTATTTGAAATCATTGCAAATACTTGCCTGGCCAATGGAACCGAAAGAAAACAGTTGCAAAAGGGTGAACCCCGCCTATCTGCTAATCCAGGCAGGCTAAAGCAAATGCTAAAAGTATTGGAAATATTTTAAATAGCAATTTGAATGCAGGTCTGATCCACTCCCACTATTAGGACTTGAGACCAACCTCCAGGCCCTCACCCCAGGCCCCCATCCCCGGGCCCCCACCCCCTGGCCCCCACCCCCAGGCCCTCACCCACAGGCCCCCACCCCCAGGCCCTCACCCACAGGCCCCCACCTCCAGGCCCCCATCCCCAGGCCCTCACCCCCTGGACCCCACCCCCTGGACCCCACCCCCAGGCCCTCACCCCAGGCCCCCACCTCCAGGGCCCCCATCCCCAGGCCCCCATCCCCAGGCCTCCATCCCCGGGCCCCACCCCTGGCCCCCACCCCCCCACCCCCCAGGCCCCCTCCCCAGGCCCCCATCCCCAGGCCTCCATCCCCGGGCCCCCACCCCCTGGCCCCCACCCCCCACCCCCATGCCCCCATCCCCAGGCCCCCCATCCCCAGGCCTCCATCCCCGGGCCCCCACCCCCCTGGCCCCCACCCCCCCACCCCCAGGCCCCCATCCCCAGGCCCCATCCCCAGCCTCCATCCCCGGGCCCCCACCCCCAGGCCCCCACCCCCAGCCAGAGACCAGCAGCCAGGGGTTTCACAGGCAGTCCTTAATATAGGAAGTGACTTGGACGACTGTGTGGACCATAATCTGTTCACCCTGCCCAGGCCTACCTACCTACCCCGACCCAGGAGTGAGGCCGCGACCTGGGGTGGGGGTGGTGAATCTAGAAGGGGCCTCCTCCACCACCCAGCATACAGGGGCTGTTTATCAGGTACCACTAGTCCCAGTTCAGACCCCAGGACATCATGATACAGGTGTTTGACGGCTGGCTCCTGATCAAGGCTCAACACGGAGCCAGAATGGACGAACATGGGTTTGTTACCCGCAGCTTCACCCGCCAGTACCCTCTGCCTGAGGAAACTGCAGCAGGCGGGGAGATCTGAGGGCTCTGCTGTGCCATGCTGGGATACTGGGGGTGGAGTCTAAACAGAGGACACCTGTTAGGATACCAAGTGAGGAGGAGGAGAACTATTAATTATAGACTATTGATTATGACTCTATTGATTAGGTAAGAATGTGAGTTAAAGTACACACAGACCTGAACAGATACTACAATACCGCTAACATAAGTGATTGATTGTATTATGTTTTGTGAAATTAATTATGTTATTCAACTATTTCTCTAACCATAGTTATTGTTACATTTCTATCTGATTTTACTTTGCTATATCATGCTATTGGGTACTAATGATACTGAAGTACTTAACAGCATAAAGGCTGTATTTAAATCAAAATGTAAGTGTTCACTTTGCTTTAAATTGTAAATAGACATATGAGGTTGGTCACTAGGCAGTCATTGAGAACTTGATACATAGCTCTTATGATATCTGACATGTATGAACATACAGTGAGGGAAAAAACGTATTTGATCCCGTCTGACCTCTGTGATTGCCAACAAGGGTTTTGCCACCAAGTACTAAGTCATGTTTTGCAGAGGGGTCAAATACTTATTTCCCCCATTAAAATGCAAATCAATTTATAACATTTTTGACATGCGTTTTTTTCTGGATTTTTTTGTTGTTATTCTGTCTCTCACTGTTCAAATAAACCTACCATTAAAATTATAGATTGATCATTTCTTTGTCAGTGGGCAAACGTACAAAATCAGCAGGGGATCAAATACTTTTTTCCCCTCACTGTAGCTCTTATGATATCTGACATGTATGAACAGATGTTCTGTACATTGAGGGCTGACTGAGACCATAAATAGAGACTTGAAAGAAGATACAAATGTGATTAAAAAGTGATACATTGTTACATTATAATCACAAACGTTATTACATTGTTAAATTGCTAATTTTTTTTTTACTGTTTTGTTACATCCATGCTACATTCTGATAATAAAATAAATACATGTAAATACAGTAGGATTCTGATACCATCTATGAATTGATCTGTTATAGAAAATCACATCACATCACTTGAATGAGCATGAAAACATTTTTTATTTTTTAATGTATGCACTCACTAACTGTAAGTCGCTCTGGATAAGAGCGTCTGCTAAATGACTAAAATGTAAAATGTAAAATGTAATTCCACACCCACCCATCAACTAAAGCGGAGGCGTTTGATTGGTGTGCCTGGTGATTGTTCCTCCTCCTAGCTCCACCCTTGATTATTCAGACTGATTATGTGTGGTTGACGCGCGGCGAAGGGAGTCTGCGAGGAGAGAGCGACAGGCGGTAAGGAGGCGACACGTCTAAACGGGGTAAACCTGGACGAAATAACACGATTGTATTGCACATTTTAACGTTAACAAAATTGGATTGTATAGTAGGTCGCTTGAAGAAGGGACATTTCGGTGGGAGTTTTCAAGCAGTGTGCCTTCTCAACTTCGTACACAGAGTTGTAGTAGTTTGGATAGGCTAGCCTGCCTGCTAGAGTTTGCTGGCTAGCTCTAGCTGGTTATTTTGTTGCGCGCTGGGCGCTCCAGTTGTTGTTGAACTATGGCGCTCAAGGCGAGGGCTTTATACGACTTCAATTCCGAAAACCCCGGTGAGATATCAGTGAAAGAAAATGAAATAGTGAGTCTGTACAGCGAACAGGACATCGAAGGATGGCTAGAAGGGTCCAACAGCAAAGGCGAGAGAGGACTCTTCCCCGCGTCCTACGTCGAGATCCTGAAGAACGATACTGCGTCCACGTTTAACAACAACAGCACATCTGGATCCCGATACGCCAATATTCCAACCGGAGGCTTCGGGGACACCTCCTCTTATAAAATCCAGAATCAAACTGACAACTTGTCCAAAACATCAGCAACATCGCCCGGGTTTACAGCGTTCTCCCCGCCTGCCCCAGCACCGCAGCAGCAGCACATTTATCAAGCCAGCCAGGGCAGCGACGAAGACTGGGACGATGACTGGGATGACAGCTCGACAGTGGCGGACGAGCCCGGGGTTGTTGGGGGTAGTTACCAAGGGGACTTCGATGGCAACGGACCGTCTACATACAGAGTGTCAACGTCTACGTCCAGAGGTGGCAACGCTCAACAAGCCAAGAGCTCTGCAACGGTCAGTAGAAACCTCAATAGGTTTTCAACATTTGTGAAATCGGGTGGGGAAGCGTTCGTGTTGGGTGAGGCAGCTGGGTTTGTGAAAGACGGGGATAAGATCTGTGTTGTAACAGGACAGTACGGCCCAGAATGGCAGGAAAACCCGTACCCCTTCGCCTGTACCATCGACGACCCCACCAAGCAGACCAAGTTCAAAGGAATGAAGAGTTACATTGCCTACAAGCTGACGCCCACCCACACACAGACGCAGGTAAACAGGAGGTATAAACACTTTGACTGGCTCTATGCCCGGCTGGTGGAGAAGTTCCCTGTCATCTCGGTGCCCCACATCCCAGAGAAGCAGGCGGCGGGGCGGTTTGAGGAGGACTTCATCTCTAAACGGAGGAAGGGGTTGATATGGTGGATGAATCACATGACCAGCCACCCGGTCCTGTCCAAGTGTGATGTCTTTCAACACTTCCTCACCTGCAACAGGTAGGCCTCTCTCCCCTCCTTGTTTCTTTGCTCTGTAAAGCTATCCTGAGTGCCACTCAGTTTTTTGCTCTCTCGCCAACTCATTTTACATTTGAGTAATTTAGCAGACGCTCTTATCCAGAGCGACTTACAGTTAGTTATTACAAAAAATAAAATAATGTCATACTCCTTTATAGAATTGTAATGTTTGGCTTGATAATGACAGCAATGGAGTTAGCATGAGAGCACAAACAGACTGGCCCTCAGGCTATTGTAAAGCGTCTTTGGGTCATTGAAAAGCGCTAGCCTGGGGATGGTCTGGTGGTAACTGCTGCTGCCTTCGGAGCAGACGCGTAGGCTTGGCCTGTGTTGGTATGGGTTTGAATCTGGCCCACGCCAACCGTGTCCCTTCTTACTTTCCTGTCACTCTTCACTGTCTCTGTGAAACAAAATAAAATGCTATGTAAAACCTATGTATTATTATTATTATTTTCAACAGTACAGATGAGAAGTCATGGAAGCAGGGGAAGAGGAAAGCGGAGAAGGATGAGATGGTGGGGGCCAACTTCTTCCTCACTATCTCCTCCCCCTCCGGACCCCCCCCGGACCTGGTCGAGGTCGAGTCCAAGATCGACGGCTTCAAAGCTTTCACCAAGAAAATGGACGACAGCGTGGTCCAAGTCAATGCCACCACCAACGAGTTCGCCCGGAAACAGATCACAGGCTTTAAGAAGGAGTACCAGAAAGTGGGCCAGGCGTTTAAAGTCCTGGGGCAGGCGTTTGAGCTGGACCAGCAGGCGTACTCGGTGGGGTTGAACCAGGCGATAACGTACACCGGAGAGGCATACGATGCTATCGGAGACTACTTTGCAGAGCAGCCGAGACATGATGTGGACCCGTTAATGGATTTGTTACAGCTGTACCAGGGACATCTGGCCAACTACCCTGATATCATCCACGTACAGAAAGGTAATGTCGTCATACTACCCTGATATCATCCACGTACAGAAAGGTAATGTCATCATACTACCCTGATATCATCCACGTACAGAAAGGTAATGTCATCATACTACCCTGATATCATCCACGTACAGAAAGGTAATGTCATCATACTACCCTGATGTCATCATACTACCCTGATGTCATCATACTACCCTGATGTCATCATTCTACCCTGATGTCATCATACTACCCTGATGTCATCATACTACCCTGATGTCATCATTCTACCCTGATGTCATCATACTACCCTGATGTCATCATACTACCCTGATGTCATCATACTACCCTGATGTCATCATACTACCCTGATGTCATTATACTACCCTGATGTCATCATACTACCCTGATGTCATCATACTACCCTGATGTCATCATACTACCCTGATGTCATCATACTACCCTGATGTCATCATACTACCCTGATGTCATTATACTACCCTGATGTCATTATACTACCCTGATGTCATCATACTACCCTGATGTCATCATACTACCCTGATGTCATCATACTACCCTGATATCATCCACGTACAGAAAGGTAATGTCATCATACTACCCTGAATATCATCCACGTACAGAAAGGTAATGTCATCATACTACCCTGATGTCATCATACTACCCTGATGTCATCATTCTACCCTGATGTCATCATACTACCCTGATGTCATCATACTACCCTGATGTCATCATACTACCCTGATGTCATCATACTACCCTGATGTCATTATACTACCCTGATGTCATTATACTACCCTGATGTCATCATACTACCCTGATGTCATCATACTACCCTGATGTCATCATACTACCCTGATGTCATTATACTACCCTGATGTCATTATACTACCCTGATGTCATCATACTACCCTGATGTCATCATACTACCCTGATGTCATCATACTACCCTGATATCATCCACGTACAGAAAGGTAATGTCATCATACTACCCTGAATATCATCCACGTACAGAAAGGTAATGTCATCATACTACCCTGATGTCATCATACTACCCTGATGTCATCATACTACCCTGATGTCATCATTCTACCCTGATGTCATCATTCTACCCTGATGTCATCATACTACCCTGATGTCATCATACTACCCTGATGTCATCATACTACCCTGATGTCATCATACTACCCTGATGTCATCATACTACCCTGATGTCATCATACTACCCTGATGTCATCATACTACTAGGCTCAGTCCTACTAACTCCACTGATTGCAAATATGTGTGTGATAACAGTTGAATGGGTGCAACTGAGTGTAAATATTGCTTCATCAGGGATCAAATGACTTTGTTGCAACCAATGGTCTGTCAGACAGCAACAACAATTGACAATGGCTTAAGAGCCTTCATGTCTTGTTTCTGATAAGGTACCTCCCTCTAGCCTTCTTCATGTTTTTGTTTCTGATAAGGTACCTCCCTCTAGCCTTCTTCATGTTTTTGTTTCTGATAAGGTACCTCCCTCTAGCCTTCTTCATGTTTTGTTTCTGATAAGGTACCTCCCTCTAGCCTTCTTCATGTCTTGTTTCTGATAAGGTACCTCCCTCTAGCCTTCTTCATGTCTTGTTTCTGATAAGGTACCTCCCTCTAGCCTTCTTCATGTTTTTGTTTCTGATAAGGTACCTCCCTCTAGCCTTCTTCATGTTTTTGTTTCTGATAAGGTACCTCCCTCTAGCCTTCTTCATGTCTTGTTTCTGATAAGGTACCTCCCTCTAGCCTTCTTCATGTCTTGTTTCTGATAAGGTACCTCCCTCTAGCCGTCTTCTTTTTCTCAACCTGTCATGGTGGCCGTAGTCGCTTTATCAGCTCTGCAGCAGTCTTCACCATTATCACTGAGAGGAGGGGACTTCAGCTTTGCATGAGAGATGGGATATTGACCCCACACCACACGCCCTCCCATACAACCACACAACCACACACACACACACACACACACACACACACAGGTTTCATTTGACTGCTGAGTCACATGGGAGGCAGCCTGTGGTTTAGCTGATGCGTTGTGTTTCCACGGCTGGTTGTGTGTGCTGTCATTGTGGTGCAAAAGTGTGCCCATTACACACTTTTTCTAAAGCCTGGAACAACGGAAAATGCCACAGGGTTTGCCAGGAAAGCCAGTCAGTCTATCACCCATGACCTACAGTAGTATCTGGGGCTGTGACGGTCGTGGACATTTTGGATAAATGACGGTAATTGACCAGCCAAATGACCACGGTCACCATAATAACCTTTTTTTTTTTTTTTGGTTTGCAAAGCTGTCATCAAGGCAAAGGGTGGCTACTTTGAAGAATCTCAAATATAAAATATATTGATTTGTTTAACACTTTTTTTTGGTTACTACATAATTCCATATGTGTTATTTCATAGTTTTGATGTCTTCACTATTATTCTACAGCATAGAAAATAGTAAAAATAAAGAAAAACCCTTGAATGAGTAGGTGTGTCCAAACTTTTGACTGGTACTGTGTATATAGTATTTATAAGCTGGAAGTAGAAGCCTAAGTGTTGTTGTCCATTAGTTTACTCCACTTAGGGGAGGGGTGGTAGGGTTAGGGGGAAAAAAATAAAGAAGGAAAATATATATGTATATACAGTGGGGGAAAAAAGTATTTAGTCAGCCACCAATTGTGCAAGTTCTCCCACTTAAAAAGATGAGAGAGGCCTGTAATTTTCATCATAGGTACACGTCAACTATGACAGACAAAATGAGAAAAAAAAAACCAGAAAATCACATTGTAGGATTTTTAATGAATTTATTTGCAAATTATGGTGGAAAATAAGTATTTGGTCAATAACAAAAGTTTCTCAATACTTTGTTATATACCCTTTGTTGGCAATGACACAGGTCAAACGTTTTCTGTAAGTCTTCACAAGGTTTTCACACACTGTTGCTGGTATTTTGGCCCATTCTTTCATGCAGATCTCCTCTAGAGCAGTGATGTTTTGGGGCTGTCGCTGGGCAACACAGACTTTCAACTCCCTCCAAAGATTTTCTATGGGGTTGAGATCTGGAGACTGGCTAGGCCACTCCAGGACCTTGAAATTTCTTTCCTTTACACGGATCAGTCGTCCTGGTCCCTTTGCAGAAAAACAGCCCCAAAGCATGATGTTTCCACCCCCATGCTTCACAGTAGGTATGGTGTTCTTTGGATGGAACTCAGCATTCTTTGTCCTCCAAACACGACGAGTTGAGTTTTTTTAACCAAAAAGTTATATTTTGGTTTCATCTGACCATATGACATTCTCCCAATCCTCTTCTGGATCATCCAAATGCACTCTAGCAAACTTCAGACGGGCCTGGACATGTACTGGCTTAAGCAGGGGGACACGTCTCCCACTGCAGGATTTGAGTCCCTGGCGGCGTAGTGTGTTACTGATGGTAGGCTTTGTTACTTTGGTCCCAGCTCTCTGCAGGTCATTCACTAGGTCCCCCCGTGTGGTTCTGGGATTTTTGCTCACCGTTCTTGTGATCATTTTGACCCCAAGGGGTGAGATCTTGCGTGGAGCCCCAGATCGAGGGAGATTATCAGTGGTCTTGTATGTCTTTCCATTTCCTAATAATTGCTCCCACAGTTGATTTCTTCAAACCAAGCTGCTTACCTATTGCAGATTCAGTCTTCCCAGCCTGGTGCAGGTCTACAATTCTGTTTCTGGTGTCCTTTGACAGCTCTTTGGTCTTGGCCATAGTGGAGTTTGGAGTGTGACTGTTTGAGGTTGTGGACAGGTGTCTTTTATACTGATAACAAGTTCAAACAGGTGCCATTAATACAGGTAACGAGTGGAGGACAGAGGAGCCTCTTAAAGAAGAAGTTACAGGTCTATGAGAGCCAGAAATCTTGCTTGTTTGTAGGTGACCAAATACTTATTTTCCACCATAATTTGCAAATAAATTCATTAAAATTCCTACAATGTGATTTTCTGGATTTTTTTTTCTCATTTTGTCTGTCATAGTTGACGTGTACCTATGATGAAAATTACAGGCCTCTCTCATCTTTTTAAGTGGGAGAACTTGCACAATTGGTGGCTGACTAAATACTTTTTTCCCCCACTGTATATATGTATGTATGTATATGTATGTATGTATGTATGTATGTGTATATATATATGTGTGTGTGTATTTACCCAAAAATATATGGGGGATTGGAAATGATGCAGATAATGACCTTGATAGAAGCCACAATCTATATGTAATATTAAAGCTGATCTATCCCTTAAATAGATAAATACAAGTTCACTCAGGCCGTTTTTATCATTGAAAAAATGGTCAGTTCTCTCCCAATGTGATAGCACCTGGGTGTAGTCTACCTAGTTTATTGACTTCCATTGAAACAGAGAAAATGAGGGAGTAGGGATGTCTCGCTTCCTCTTCCATCTCTGCTGTGGGTACCCTCGCAATTCCCACCTGGCCATCCATTATGCCATAATTGACTTGAATGGGGACGCTACTCAATCTATTTATATGGCAGCACATGCTGTCGGGAGTGGAGGCGAGGAGAAAATGTGTCTAAATGTTTTTACATTTTATTTTATTTATATATATTCGAACGGCTAGCAGAACTCCGCTAGGCGACGTGAACGCCTGTGCCTCGCATACTCCCTTTTAAAAATACATTTGCTTGAAAAAAACGAGCACACTGGCAATATTGCTGTTTGTCCCTCTTGAGACGCCGTACAACAACATAGCCATAACACTTCTTCAAAATAGCCTGAATTAATCTAAAAGAAATCAAGAAATCTGTAATTAGTGTTGAAGTTTTTGCCGAGGAGGTCTTAGTCGCGCAATTTTACATCTAATGAAGACGTCTGTTGCAGTATTTCTCCCCCCAAAAATTTTTTTCATAAACTTGTCGTCTCTCGTTGGATGACAACAAACACTTAATTGAAGAATCCCTGATGACCAATCATGGACGAAGGGGCGTAGACTTTGGCTACCGAAGTTCGGGTTTGCCTCAAG